GACTTTGGCGGTAGGCAGAAGTGGGCACGACGGCTGGGGTTGCTCCTGGGGTTTTAATTTATTTTTTTTATTTCCCAGGCGATGCTTTTCGGAAAGACGGGTGGGGGTGGGAGGGAGCTATAAGTTAATGTAAATGCAGGGGGTGGGTGGGCTGGGGGGAGAGGGTGTCACTCCTGACTCCACAGCTAAGTTAGCAGAAGTCTGCTGGCAGCACTCGGAAGGAGAAGTGTTGAAGTGGGCTTTTCTGCAGTGCAGGACTGTAATTTGCTGAAGGAGGCAAAGAACATCCTTCGATCTAAGTAGGGCTTTTAGTGTGCTCATTGATGAGTGAAAGTCGCCACACATGTCAAGCTAAAGGCAGTTGTTGGGTTACTAACAGGACACAACGTCTTGCAAACATATGCGTTAAGCTGTGTATACAGATGGCAGGGAGAATAATGGAGCAGGCGCCTCTTATAAAGCTCTAGCTGCTGCCTGTCTTCAGACCTGGGAAAAGAAACTATTCAGACTCAGGGCCAGATAGTGCCTGGGATTGTTTGTTACCGTTTTAATCCTATTAATTAAAACGTTAACCTGATTGGGTAGAAAGCTCTGTCCCAACAGGCGAGTCTTCTTCATAATAACCTACTCTCAGAGATAATGATGTAAAAGACTCCCCCGTCTGCGGCGGCTGCTGGTTGATGGGTCCGGAAATCTCTTGAAGGTGAATCCAAGCAAGATAAACGGTGGAAGCGGCTCCACTGGCAGCGCACAATGCCCCACCGCGGCGCCTGCTGAGGGCGAGCCGGAGCCACAGCCACAGCCCGAGTCACAGCCGGAGCCACAGCCCGAGCCGGAGCCGCCGGAGCCGCAACCGAAGCCACCGGAGCCGCAGTCCGAGCTGTCGCCGGAGCCAAAGAAGGGACAGCCGCGGCGCCGGGCACGGCGCAGCCCCAGCGGGAGCCGGGAGACGATTTCTGCCAGCGGGACGCCGGGGAGCCGCCTGCCGCGGCGCGGAGCCTTGGAGGAGCGGGCCGGGAGCTGAGGGGGGCGGAGGAGGCGGAGGCGGAGGCGAGCGGGGCGCCGATGGAGCGGGCGCTGGGGCTGCCCGCAGAAGAGGACCTCTTCCACAAGAGCCTCGCCGCCTCGGCCAAGCGCATGGAGTCCGCCTTCCGCTCACCCCCGGGGCTCGACCTCTCCCACCCCCGCGACCGCCAGCCCTCGCCGCTCGCCTGCTACGAGGCGTCGGAGCCCGAGGCGCTGCTGCAGCCCGGCGTCGGCGGCGACCCGCTGGCGCTACCGCCGGGCTCCGTCTGCGTCAAGTACGGCGAGAGCGCCAGCCGCAGCTCGGTGGCCGAGAGCAGCGGCGGCGAGCAGAGCCCCGACGACGACAGCGACGGCCGCTGCGAGCTGGTGCTGCGCGGCACCGGGGGGGACCCGCGCGTCGCCTCGCCGGCGGCGGGCGGCGGCGGAGGGGGGGGCGGGGGGCTGAAGGCGGCCGAGGGCAGCTGCTCCAACACCCACGGGCACGGCGGCAGCAAGAAGTCCAAGGAGCAGAAGGCGCTGCGGCTCAACATCAACGCGCGGGAGCGGCGGCGGATGCACGACCTGAACGACGCGCTGGACGAGCTGCGGGCGGTCATCCCCTACGCGCACAGCCCCTCGGTGCGGAAGCTCTCCAAGATCGCCACGCTCCTCCTGGCCAAGAACTACATCCTGATGCAGGCGCAGGCCCTGGAGGAGATGCGGCGCCTGGTGGCTTATCTCAACCAGGGCCAGGCCATCTCGGCCGCCTCCCTGCCCAGCTCCGCCGCGGCGGCGGCGGCAGCGGCGGCGGCGCTGCACCCCGCCCTCGGCGCCTACGAGCAGGCGGCCGGTTACCCCTTCAGCGCCGGTCTGCCTCCCGCCACCTCCTGCCCGGAGAAATGTGCCATCTTCAACAGCGTCTCCTCCAGCCTCTGCAAACAGTGCACGGAGAAGCCTTAAGCGCCGCCGCCGTGGTCGCCCCCCGCCGCCGCCGCGGCCCCGGGGAGCGACGACTGCCGGCGGCCCGGTCCCGGGCTGGGGGGCGCGGAGGCGGCGGAGGGACTGACCGCTGCCCGGCCCCCGCCGCTCTCCGCCTGGACTCGCCTCGCTCGTCTCCTCGGGTGCCGCCGGGATGGGACCGCGACGGGAGCCAGCGTGCGTGCGGCGGTGGGGAGGGGGCGAGGGGCCGGGGGTGCCGCGGGGAGGAAGGAAGGCCCGGCCCAGGGGTCGCCGGGGGGTTCGCTGCGCGTCCGGACAAAGGAGCGGCCGGGAAATAGCAGGCCGGGCTGGGAGCCGGGGCTATCGCCGGGGACAAATCAGAGAGGGCACTTGAACATAGATTTTTTTTTTTAATTAATTATTATTAGCAGTATTATTAATATTATTCTGAGCCAGGAAACAAACAAACTTGAAATGTAAACTTATTATTTAAGTGACTTACAGAAACAAAGAGACTGGACCATTGCTATGGAAGACTTCGTATTTTTTATCGTCTCTAAACTTTGATCCTGTGAAAATGCGCAAAGTTTGGTGAGAGTGATTTAAAATTGAGAGAGTTAAAAAAAAAAAAAGACAAAAAAATAACCGATCAAAACCCCTACTCCGTGTGGCTGAAAGTATCGCATTTTTAAAAGAAATATTTATGTGCACCTTGTTTCTTTCCAGTTTGCAATGATGTATAAACAAGACATGCTATTTATTTGTTATTCTTTAAATGACCCTTCCACACCAACAGTATTTATCATGTGTTAAGGTCATGGGTCTTATGTGCAGTTACTTTAAATGCTTCTAAAATTCTGTTTATGGATTAACTTCAACTGTGTGCCAAGTGTTTAAAACATTTATTTGCCAACAACGTATAACCAGAAATGTTGATGTATCCGAGCTGCTTAGGTTTATGAAAGGTCATCTGGATTTTAAGTTGCATCATCCCTGTATTTAAATTGAGCTTTAATAAATTGCTTCAGTCCAAAAATTAGAGGAAAAGTGTATTCTTAATTGCTCAACCAACTGATTTTTGAAAGGGTATTCTTTGCATTTATAACAGGTAATAGCTATTTACTTTTACAAGGCATCAGAGCAATAGCTGCTACAAGAACACTTGCCAAGCCAGTGTTTTCCCAGGCGCTGTTTTCAAGGGTATAATTTAAACCGCTTTTAATGTGTATGTAAATTATTCTGACTGTGGATGATTATTTAAGTTGAAATACTTTAAAATACTTTAGGCTGATTTACAGAACGCGTGGAATTCTCTTTTTCCGTGGGGATGGGGGGTGGGGTGGTTTTCTTTTTTTAAGGAAAAATGAGAGATGAAAAGCAAGAAGTAGCTATTTACCCAAAGTGAGCCTTCAGTTTAGTTTGCATGGCTGGGTGGTTGTCTCTCTGCCATTTGTAAATTAAGATTTTTTTTTTTCATTTTTTTTTTCTTTTCAAAAACGAGTCCTGCTATTTTCCACTACTTGCAGATAATACAAATTCGGACTGTCAGGTTGGATGGCAAAATAGGAGCCATGATGGATCTGTTGGCAGGTCACGGATGTGTAAAGAGTGATATATATTAAATAGGTCAATCAGATTATGACAGCAATGTACGATCGTTTGTATGTGTATCTATGTCGGAAAGAATCTTTATTAAAATATTTTGAACAAACGCTTTCATTATGCTGTGCTTTGTTAAGCATATATCTCTAGAATTAAGGAGATGGAGAGGGAGTGGGTAGTTTCCTTGCCTTTGCCTTTCTCTGAATGCGCCTCAAAACCGCCCCCCCCCGGCACCCCACTACCGGCTCAGGGTATCCCAGGCAGGGGGGTGACAAGTTCCCTTGCCTGCGCTGCGTTTCTGCCGCGCCCGTGGCGGGCGGACCCCGGCGTTGCGGGGCAGCCGTGGGGCAGCGCCGGGCCCTGCCCGCCCGTTCTGCGGCTCCACTCACGCCCTGAACAGTGGGGTTGGATGCGCCCCGGGGTAAGCTGCAGGACCGCCCCCCCGCCTCCTCCCTACCCCCCATCTTTTGGATCCGCCCCTCCCCTCGTGGACCCTCCGCCCTGCCCCAAACCCGAGGGCAGGGAGAGCGCGCAGACCCCCAAAGCTGCCCGCCCGGCGCTGAGCCCGGGCCGGGAGTCCCAGCCCTGCGTGTCCCCCCTCCCTCGGGCGGGCCGGGCCGGCGCCGGGTGTCCGCGGAGCCGCCTCTCCCAACGGCAGCACCACAGGCGGGGGAAGGGGATAAATATTTTCTGCTCCACTTCCCATCAAAAAAGATTAATCAGAACCTGTAACTTTTCAGGAAACATAACTGTAAAGTGCCACGGAGCTGTGGGAAGGCAGCCCAGAGAGGGTGGGCAGATCAGCCCCCAGGCGCAAGGAGAAGCGTCTCTCAGCATTTACTAGACAAAGGCTGGGTGCGTCTAATTATGATTATTAAAACAATTTCCATGACGATGTCTAATATTATGTTAATTTGAAAACAACTGTATATGAAAACTGTCGACTATAATACCTAAATTCATTTAATGAAACACATCGTTAAGGCAATTAAACCTCCTGGATGTGATTAAGGAACATAATTACGACACTGTTCTGCGCCATAATTGGGTGTCTTTAATCAAGGGGTAAAGTGATCAGCAACACAGCCATTAGTTTGTATTGTTCTGTCTCTGCTGTCCATCATTCTGATTAGGAATTAACCACCGCCACCAGCTTGGCGTGGTGCGTGCCTGTGTGTGTGTGCGTGTGTGTGTCCGCGTGAGTGTGTGTTCGTGCATATAACATCGCAGGACACATTTGCTGCAATATTTACCGCTTACTGTCTCTGGCTACCGAGCGGGCTTTCTTCCCGGGGAGGTTCCCCTGGAAGGCGCGGGCGCTGCTTGGCTTTGCCCGGCCGTGGGGTGGGGGAAAACAAGCCAGGTCCCAGCAAACTCTTGGAGCGGCCGGGATCTGGGCTGTGGGGAAAGCAAGGGGCTGGAGGAGGCCCACGCCCTGCCTCCCGGCTCCCGTGGGCAGGGTCCGAAGGGTGCGGGCCGCGCCTGGAATGCTCCCCGCCGGCTCTGGGGAGCGAGGGCGGCCGCTGCCGCCTGTGGCACATGGAGCGGTTTCTCCCTTCACCGCTCTCTCGTCTGTCACCGCTTCGGAGCGACGGGACAGCGGAATGAAAACCCTGGCTACCGCTGCCGCCCGACTTTGGGCTCCCTTACTTCGTCTTCGATTCCTTCGAAGGGGGGCGAGGGGTCTGTGCCAGCTAGAGGTGCTGCCACTCCTGGCTCCACTCTCCTGTCTCCCTGCACCGAGCATCATAGCTGGGAAGCAGCGCGAAGCCACCGGGCCAGTCCCTGGGAAGGTCTTGCCAAGGCGGGCGTCGTGTATGTCGGGGCTGAGGGGAGGAGAGAAGCTCCCCCGCCCCCCTTAAATCTTGACAGATGACTTAGCTAGAAATGAACATGTCCCCTTTTGAAAAGAGCTTCTTCCCGTTTCCAACCGCCCTACCGAACCGGGATCTACCCTAGCCTCACCCGGAGCTCCCTCTGCCCCCGCCGCCCAGCCCGGCTCCCTTCCCCGGCCCCTTACCCGGGCTCGGAGCCTAAGATTGTCCCAGCATGAGTGACATTGGCTTTCCTAATGTAATGACTTATGAAAGATATAATCATGTGTTAAATTGAATCCTCCGCTTAACTGTTAATGGTGTGCTCTGGGCACATTTACGTATTAGATGCTATGGTAACTAATTACCACTAGAAGAAGGGATAATACACTTTCCAGACTTTGACAAATAATTATGAGTGTTCACATCCCTGCTAGCAGCAGTTGCAGCGGATCTGCTGGAATGAGTAAGTGAATAAATGAATGGGTAAGTGAACTTGTGTGCATGGAGGGAACTAGATAATGAATAGTGGTCAAGTGAGTTTTCTTATTAAAACCTTTAATGAAAATGTGATTTAGGGTGGAAGGGGGGGAAAAAAGTGCGACGCTGCCTCTAAACGTAATTAAATCGCGTAATATAAACATCAGAAACATAAATAAGTTTGCTTTTAATTAAAAAGCAGCAGTCAAAGTAAATTATCCACGTGCTCGGAAACTTTACAGCAATTAACACCTTTTTTTTTTTTTTTTTTTTTTTTTTTTTTTTTTTTTTTTTTTTTTTTTTTTTTTTTGTGGTGATGGCGGAGGGGGGCTGTTGGGGGGTTAAATAGACGAGCCAGGACTGTACGACTCTCTCCAGAATCATTTGTAACTGTGATCGCACTGCCACTGCCCACAGGCCGGAGGGATCCCGAGGCTGTAAGCAAACGGCGAAACAGGTCCTTATTGGAGCGGGACAAAACTTTGGGGAAGTCGCTCTGGGCTCCGCGCCTGCCCCGGCCCCCGCCGCTCTCCCGCTCCGCGGGGTCGCTGCTGCCCGTCGGGGCCCGTCCGGTGTCTGGGAAGGCTCCGGCACTAAAGGAGCCTATCAGAGGCGTAACAGAGCTTCTCTGTGGAGTATTGCTCTTGGCTGAGGCAGGCGCCGCAGGGGTTAAGCCGCTTGTGCCCGCCGCTCCGGGGCCATCCTGCCGGGGCAGGGGCTAAGGTGGGATCCGCTGCCGGGAGCAGGAGACGGCGTGGCTGCCCCGGCCCCCCGGCCCGACTCCGGAGCTCCTACCAGCCAAATACATCGCAGAAGGGACATCTGCTAAATGAGCAAAGAGCTGAAGCCAGCCCCATTTCCCCGGGGTCACCCATCAGCTCGGTGTCACCCAGCCCGCCCCCCGCACATCCCCGAAGCGCTCCGGAGGGGAATTTGCTCTGGTTCGGTTGGTTCTCCAGCCTCAGGAAGGGTTAAATCTTTCCCCAAGCCCCTAGTTGCCCTTGTCCTCTCAACCTGATTCAGAGACGTGTAATAAAATAGGAAGCAAATTTATGGTCTGTTTCAAGCACTTTACTGCTGTATTTTTAAATTCATATATGCACACATAAGAACTATGATCTGTGAATAATTTGAAATGCTATAGGAAAATGATGTATTTTAGATCAAACATAACCGTTTTCTTACATAATTGTCTTGGATTAAAATAAAAAATAAAGATACTTTTCGAACAGAGACAAAGCTGAAAATCTAATGACCGCCATAAACTGCTAGACAGCCATAAATTAACGTCTTCATCAAACACTGAAGGGATCAGTGCTTATCTAAATCAACAATTATTTCTTCCGAGAAGTTGCAGAACAGATTGCCCCTCTAATACTGTTTTTAAATACTCATAATTGAGGATTAGGGGCAAACAATCGCCTTTCCAGAGTAAACCTCCTCTCCATCAGCCGAAGCCCTCCAAACTCACCGAACACCCAGACCGCTTCCCAGGAACCTCCTCGGGGTCCCGTCCCCTTGTACCACTGCAGCGTCCCTGGAAGCTCGAGTTGCTTTTGGGAAGGGGCGGCAGGAGTCTTTCCTCACCCTGCCTCTCCCCTGATTTGGTCGGGGGCCGGTGGAGGTGGGAGCGGAGCGCAGGGAGCCCAAGCGGCGCCGGGAGCCCGGCGGGCAGCGGGCGGGGAGTCGGGCGGGCGAGGGTGCGGGTTCTTGCCGCCGCCGCGGGCCGGGGGCATCCCGTAGCGGAGCCATCCCGAAGCACCGGCATCCCCCCGTGCTTCAACCCCGAGCTCATCTAATGCCCATCCGCTTTGCAGGTTCAAAGCTTCACCGAGGCGGCACTTCTCCCAGCTGCAGCCACCTGCGATGCCGCTTTTGCGAGAAGCTGCTGTAAAGAATTCATTTTTAGAAAGCAACTGAAAGATACGTTGCGAAGAGAGGCGATTCACTGGCTCACAAGATGGAAATTAGACAGTGAAAGACTTGCTGCCTGTAGGAGGTTAGCTAGCGACCAAACTATTTGAAAGAAAGGGGTAGTTGGAAAGATGAGCTGATAAGAAAGAAGTCACTGTCAAAAGTCATCACAGGGTGTTTCCTTACTGACTTTTACTCTCCCTGTAGCCAGAACTTAGACTTTTATTCAACTTTGCCGCACTCGTAGCTGCTGGTTTTGGGGAAAAAAACTCCAGCCAACACATCAAAATCGGTTTAACAAACCCTTAAAGATAGAATCCTGCAAGGCTTCTAGCAAGAACAAGCTGAAGCTTAGACTTCTTTTGATTATTTATTTTGGTGTAAATAGTTTTGAAGACAAGCACATTTCTGCTGTTACGAATGATGGACTCACACAACCTCAGTACCTGAGATCCCAGGCAAGGCTGATGCATAGAATAGGCTATGTAGGCACAGTACTGGTTTGTATGAGGATCAAGATCCCACTACAGTTTCTTGGTTTTAAATGAAAATGGGACATTGTCTACTTTTTTTTTTTTAATATATGCAGCAACTGTTTCTTCATATTATTATTTATAAACATAGACAGTAACTTAAGGATCACAATACTTTCATAAGCATAGCTTTAAGGGGTGTTTTTATAATGAGATCATTTTTCTGATATGTTGAGGGTATGTGGCCAGGGTATATAGGCTGGTTTAGGCAATAGGCAGGAAAATACTTAATTTTCTATGGTCTGATAGAATAGCTCTACTCACATGAGTTAAGCATATGTCATGTTAAATTAATGCCTTGAATAATTTTAAAATACAGTGCAACGCAAGTAATGGTAAGAAAGTACCTAGTATCAAACAAAATATTAGATAAAATACAATGTTAAGAGATCTAATTAATTCCTCCCTGCCAAGCTATCTTTCAGACCATTACAGAAAGCTCACTCAGAAATGTGCCCTTCTAAGATCTCGAACAATGCCACCTTTTTAATTTATAAACTTCAGTAACTTCTAATGTAGCCTGGAGTTAAAACAATTGCACAGTTACACACACATTTATCAAACCCAGAAAAATGCTGCAGGTCTGTCTTCTCTAGGACATATCTTCTACAACCCTCGCAGACATACCTGACAAGCATTTCTGCACGAAGGAATGAAGAAACACTGATGTCTTTAGGGTACAACCTTGATATTAAATACCTACTTGTAGAACTCAGTAGCTATACAGTGATACCTAGAAAAGTCAAGTTATGCTTTGCTGGTGCAGTGCTGTATATCGTAGCAAGTTCATTCATTTCCCCTTTTAAAATGAATGATCTGAGAAGACAGAATATTTTACACTACGTAGTACATCTTGTACTACACAGAGGTTTGCAAAGGGAAAAGCCTAGGAGCTGCATTTAGGAATAGCTAGTGGATTGCAGATCTTCATACTAATTTTAATACCGTCCTAGGAATGTCAGATGTACCAGGTTTTTTTCCTCATCTGATGAGAACTGGTTTATGTTTCATAGGGGGATAAAAAAACAGACTTGATAATTTCCTAAATTCAAAAGAGTTGCTTTATGCCAGTGCTGAATTAAAGGTTTGGGTTTTTTTTTTCCTTACAGAAATATCTTTCAAGATCAAGTAACAGAAAAATGCAGTATGTTGAAACAACAATTAAAAAATCAAAGCAATAGTTGTGAATCTGTGAGAAAAGTGTAAACATAAGCTGGAAAAAAATACCATGGACAGTCATTCAATATTAAAATATATATATTCCTTTTTATTGCTTCCTTGAAATACAAAATTTATTTAAGATGTTAGATTACTAAAATAATGAAGTTTCAATTTTGTTGCTCAGAAATTCACAATTTACCTTAGTCAATTTACGAGCCTGAATGATGGATATTAACTATTAAAGTAGAACCTAGCTGTTGTTCGTCTATATACAAAATGTCAGTTTGCACAATTAAGAGCACTTCACAGTCTTTTGAATGACAGAAAGTTCAGTAATGACAAAATAAAAGATCATGTATAATTCTACAAGAGAAATTCACAGACCAGTAATTATTCATAAAAATAGCAGTGCCAAAAGTAGTGACATGCAACTGACTTAAAAGCATAAACTAAAGAACAACGCTTACATGGTTTTATGTTAGTACATTAGAACATATTGGCAGAGATATGAAAGTCTAATTTACAAACAGGTACACATATACTGGATGGTTTTTTAAGTAATAGCTTATAGCAGTATTGAGTGCCAGCATGAAAATGGAGAAAACACAATCTGTAAATTACAATAATAATAATAATTAAAAAATGAGATTTTAGCATTCACATTAGTTCATGATAAATTAACTTTTCTTCTTCAGTGTTATAAAGGGCTGTATTGACTCTATAAATCCATTTTATATGAGAAAAAAAGGTGCTTATATATATTTTCTAATAGCAAAAGATACTATTGATACAGCCATAGATATCAACAACTTACAGTGAGAGGCTGGTAGTGACCAGCTGAGTCACATCTCAAAGTGATGAGTGAATGCACCATTTCACTGGAGGAACAGCAGAGAAATTCACGGGGTACCCATGCACCCCTCCTGCCTGACCCTACACCTGCCAGGTCAGTGGATGCCAGACACTGCTGGGCTGGCAGGGCAGACCCCCCTGCTGAGGTGAAGAGCTGGGACAAGGAAGAACATGTCTGACTGCCTCCCACCCCCTTTCCCGGCAGCCCCACTGGCACCTGAATGCTTGCAAATGGCACTGCTATTTCTGTTTAGATGATTTTGCCATCTTAGTGCTCCGGCAACGGACACCAAGAACTGGTTGCTCCTGGGTACTGCACCAGAGGAGATCATCAAAAACAGCATTGTGCCCTGCGTTATGAAACGTGCTCTCCTTGGCACAGCACTCTGTGCCCAGCTTGGCTCCAGGTGGGACTTCCAAGAATGCTGCACCCTTACCCTGTTGTGCTGCCTCAGTTTATTGACCAGAAATACCAAAACCAGGGGCCTTTGAATCCCAGCTCCATGGAGACTGAGTGACTCCTGAGACAGAGCAGCTGCTGGCTCTCAATATGTCATCTCCTCAGTTACTGACTGCATGGACCCAAAGGTCTTAACATTTCCTCTGTCCTGCTCTAGCTGTCGTTGCTTTAGATGGGGGTGAGGTTTACTTCCTCTGCAGCTGGGGTATGCCAAGGTATTGATGCATTGCTTACCAGCAAAACCAATCTACCAGGAGCCTGGGTTACCAGGAACACAATTCCAGGACAAGCTGGGTAGGCCCTGCTTAACATTTGATTATTTTAGTGCCTGAGCAAAAAGAGCATATAACTTTTTTCCCAGCAAAATGCTGGCCTCTTGTGCAGTGCAGAGACCGCTCTCCAACTCTGACGCAAGGCCTCCAAGTGTCTTCATGGAGGTTTCCTGCAACTCTTGGGAAAGATTCTGACTATTCTTCTTTCTTTCTTTCTTTTTTATTTAAATGGAGCATACCCTACAGATTTAATTTGCTATTTTGGAGACAATTGAGTTCTTCTTTTAATTTCTAAATAGATACTATACCAACTGATCGCAAACTAATCTGAAACTACTAATGATTTGCATGTCCTTTTGGCACAGTCCTATTATGCCCTATCAAATTATGCAGAAGCCAGTGATATTCTAATTCAAAATCCTAAAAATAGAACACAATTATAAAAAGGAGTCTTCTGTTTAAAACAAATAACCACTGTTATTTTCACAGTTGCCTCAGGTTTGTTTTAAAGTTGGATGCCAAAGAAAGATTTATCATAACTGTGGTATGAGACATTTTACAGCTTACATTTAAGCAATAATGGAATACAGTCAACAGTGTAATGATATCAACATTTCCTCTCCCAATAAACCAGGCTCTAATGACCAAACTGGATTGTGAGCTACAGCCGAGTACAGAATAGCTTCTACAGAGTAACTGCAGGAGTAAGTAACCTGAGTACAAGAATCTCTCCATAAACCCCAATTTTATTCTGTGGCACAAAGCAATAATCAGCTTTTGCTGGTAATTAAATGTTGAAGCAAAGTTAAAGCATTGAATTAACCGCAAAGCCCATTTAATGTAAGTGTACTCCAGACTTGTAGACATTATAGATACTATATATGAATAGAAAATGTTTATCCAATATATCTCACAAAACCACAGTTTTCTCCTTGGAATGTGGCTGTGCCAATCTCTGAAAGCCTTTCTACGGTTACTGATGCTTATTTAGGGTGTGTGCTTTACACGAGTAACTGAACAAGCCCCTACATAGAAACAATAAATAAT